GAGGAGGAGGAGGAGGAGGTGGAGTTAAACGACTCCAGAAGCTAGCCGGTGCGTTCCCGCCCGTCTGGCTTTATCCCTGGTACAACCCTTCCCTTTGTTCCAATCTGACCTTGGTCCCGTCCAGGTGGGCCATGTCACAGATGACCTGTCCGATCCGCCTCTGACCACTGGTTACTCCCAGGCACGGCGCCAGAGTGGACATGTCCGGCATCATGTTCAGATTGCCGTACCTGTGTCTCTCCCCGAAACCGTCTTTGGTGAGGAGGCCGTTGATGGCGGTGAAACAGATTCCTGGGGAGGAAGGGGGGAGGGGGGGGGGTAGATAAGGCAAGATTTCTGCTGGATGAGGAGTCCGGTGTTTAGTTTTAGTAGAGGTTTTACGGCACTCGCAACTGCATAAGGTCATGTGAGCGACAGAAGAATAGATTATGTGTTACAAGAAAGTAACATACACAAAAAAGAAGGATGGGAGAGAAGGACGACAGATGTTTGACAGGAAAGAAGGAGCAAACCACACCAGAGCACCCGCCAACCACCCACGGAGTCCAGTGTGTTTTTGTGAGATTGACATGACGGTGTGATTTACATGGCTGTTCGACATGACGGACGAAACATAGACAGATCGCCGTCATATGTTGTGTAGTGGTTAGGTGTTTCACAGTCCTACGCAGAAGACGCAGGTTCGGGTGCACTTTCGGACAATGAGCTTATGCCCTCGGGGCCCTTTTTGTACTCGATATTTTAAGTACTTGACTGTGCTTTGCACGGAGCAGATACTTGCTCTTGATACAGAAAGCATGTTGCCTCGCATCTGACAAATCTTAATTAAACGCAGCACTACTCAAATGTGCCTAGGTAGATAGATGCACAATTCGCATATTATATGTAACCAACATTTTGAAAACAACTGTCTGCAATCATTCTAAGAAAGAGCCGAATGCCATGGAAACATACATGTGTAGTCAAATTTGCTATCAAGTATAAGCTTAAAGCGGCTGATGTATTACAATTAAGAGTAAAGAAGTTGGGGTGAAGGAAGAGTAGATAGAAGAGATAAAACTTTACCCAAAACGTATCCCAAAGACTAAGATTAAACAGACCCACGTCCCCACGTACCTGCCTACATACCCACCCATCTTCCCTCCCTTCCCCTTCCCCACCCCTTCTCCCCCTCCACCCACCGCCCTACGTACCTGGGTACACGCCCATCACCCTCCCTCCCTA